TCCAAAATCTCAACATATTAACCTAATACCAAGTTTTAGAATCAATAAATCTAGCCACTCATGTTTGAATTCAAATACATTGACATATTAGAAATCGACATGATCAATAAAAGTTCAAAAAGAAAGAATAAATAAAAATGGTCCAGTATGGAATGAACTTATAATCGTGGAATCGACTTGATCATCAGATTATAAGTTCATAACCCTAGTCCAAGAAATCTCGTCGATCTTTCAATCTTCTTGATTCCTTCGTAGTTGATCTTCTTCTTGGTTCCTAAATGCTTCTCTTGTGTTATAAGGCTCTTCCTTTGCGTATTCCCGTTTTGGGACTTCAAAATAAGGTAAATATGCCTTTTTATATGTCCAAAAACCTTCTCCTTATCTAAAAAGGCAATAATTAAAAATTAGCATACGCACGCGACACGGCCAGTCTGCCCGTGTCACTAGCCGTGTCGCAGCCCATGTCGAGCCTAAAGCTTAGAAATCCCTCAGTTATGTGACACGGGCATGGTGCTCGTGTCACTACCCGTGTCACACCCCTGCATGCTTACATTTGTCTATTTCGCTCGTTTCTTCTATTTTTCTCATCCGTGTATCGATCCTTCATCATCTTGGGGGTCTTAGGTACTCAACGTGTGCCTCCAATAGCCACAAGCTCTACAAATATGTGAAAATATCTACAAAACAAGTACGTGTAATACATTTCCAACAAATATAGAATTAAGGCACAAATATGCAATTTACACACCAATAATGCAATGACTAAGCTCCAGATACTCTATAAATATGGTGTAAAATCACACATGAACAAACCCTCGAGCTAAACACTTGAGGTTCTGTCGTTTGGCAAACATTTGAGCTACCCACTCGAGGTTCGAACACTTGTCATTGGACTTTCGAACTCATATACTCGGTGTTCTGTCCCTTGACAACATCTCAGCCCCTAACGAGGTTCTACTTGTCTGCTCGGACCTCAGAGTTCTTTTTTATTCAGTTTACCTTGGCACTTGAGCTGTATACCAAGAGCACCTTCCATGTAGGATACTTTAACCGCTAAAAATATTGGGTCGTCTACCCATGTTAAAACTGAATTAGCTAACACGCGAGCTGTCTGATCCATGCTACTTTTGTTTGGGGCAATATGTCACATCTTACTTGTTGTACCTTAAGGCCCTCGAGCTCCGTGCTTGAGGTCCTTAATTTTATACGTCCTTGGCTTGACAGAATACTTTATGTCTATGGGCTCTCGAGTTTGTTGTTTAGAGTGGCGGCTTTTGGCATCTAAGCTCATTGCTCGAGGTGGCAGCTTTGGACACCGGAGCCCGTTACTCGAGGTGGCATCTTTGGGCACGTGAACTAGTTGGCTCAAGGTGGCTTCTCTTGGCACCTGAGCTCATTGGCTCGAGGTGGCGTCTCTTGGAACCTGAGCTAGTTGGCTCAAGGTCTTGCCCCTTGACTTAGTTTATGGCCCTTGAGTTAACCACTCGAGGTCCTTCTAACCTTGATCTTATGGCCCCCAAGCCATCTACTCAGGGTTCTGCCTTTGTTTGACTTATTGGCCCCAAGCCATCTGCTCGGGGTTTTGCCAACCTTGAAGGACATTCAAACTTCTATCTTAACGATTTAGCTCCCGCCTCTATTAAAATTTTGAACCTCCTTGGCCCCAGAGCTTGTCTGACCTGGGATACCGTCACTCAAGAAAATATGTTACTTTTCTTAATTGTAATCTTAAGGCCCTCGAGCTACTTGCATAAGGTTTTCCCTTGTATCCTCGAACCTCCAAGCTTATATGATCAGAGTTCTGCGCAACAATTGGCTATCGAGCTAACCACTCAATGTTCTGCCATATGGACACCCAAGCCGACTAGCTCGGAGTTCTTCCCAGCTTTTATAGACCCCCCGAGCCAACCAACTCAGAGTTCTGCCCAGCATTTATGGATCTCCAAACCAACTAGCTTGGAATTTTGTCTAGCCTTGCATCTTTTCATGCACCTATAGCTCCTGGCTAACCTTGCGCTTATATTACACCTATGTTCCCCGAGCGCGTCTACTCGAGGTTCGATCTCCCTTTCATCTTTGCGTGCACCTATGGCTCTGGGCTAACCTTGCACTTATTTTGCATCTGTAGCCCCCGAGCTCGTCTGCCCGAGGTTCGGCCACCCTTTCATCTTTGCGTGCACCTATGGCTCTAGGCCAACCTTGCACTTATATTGCACATGTAGCCCCCGAGCTCGTCTACTCGGGGTTCTACCACCCTTGCATCTTTGCATGTACCTATGGCTCAATGCCAACCCTTTCCCTTATATTGCACCTTTGGCCCCTGATCTCATCTGCCTGGGGTTCTGCCACCCTTGCATCTTTGCGTGTGCCTATGGCTCTGGGCCATCCTTGCACTTATATTGCAACTGTGGCCCCCGAGTTCGTTTTTTTGGGTTTCTGCCATCCCTATATCTTTGCGTGCACCTAAGGCTCTGGGCCAACCTTACATTTATATTGTATCTATGACCCTCAAGCCCGTCTGCTCGGGGTTTTGTCACACTTGCATCTTTGCGTGCACCTATGGCGCTAGGCCAACCTTGCACTAACAAACACGATGCGTGACGCTTTAGGTATATAAGTAGAAGAGAATACATGTGTGTTTCTATAAGTTTCTATATTGTCTTATTAATAGGACTCCATCTATGTATACAACCATAGCCATAACTGGGTAATGAACGAGCAACAGTAAGGTAATATTTGATAACCGTTGAAACCACTCAGGAGTGTCTATTGGTTCAAGTTCATTGAAGTTGATAAAAGATCTCATGGGTTGATTACAAACCCAACTCGCTTTCTATTTTTAATCCAAGTCATAAAGGTGGGTATAAATATGCAGCAAAAAGATTATAAGACCCTTGTTTAATTTCCAAGTACCAAGATAAGTCGAGCCACCGGCAATGGCCCTGTGCGCAAGGCCCCAAGCGGACTGATCGGCAGGCGGCCGCTTACTGCAGAAACTAACACCTACATTTGGGGCATAACTTTAATTGTTGTGGCATCTCAAACATTTATTTTTTATATAATAAATGAAGTTATTTAAGAGTTTAATGTGAAATAAATTTATTAGACATTTCCACTACCAATTCTTAGTTGACTAATTTTAATCATTTGTTTTCAACCATCGAAAAAAAAAAAAAAAAATTACCATGAGCATATACTCGAAATGTGTAATTTTTCTACATAATTTAATTCAGCAATAACTAAATTTTAGCCAAAAAAATAATAGTCGAAATTGGGGTCAAATCTATTATTATCTGATTGATTTTCTAAAACAAAAAATAATATGGTAATATTTATTCAAGAAATATGCACACGCTATTCAAATTTCAAGATATTATAGATTTTTTTTTTAATGTAAAATCTGTTGCATTGGTTCACCTAAACTCTAGAACACATCATAAAACCAGCAGATACTACTCACATATGCCAATAATCAGCACCATCAACCAAAACCCACAAATCATTTTTCATCCAACCTCGCCTGATAACGTACGATATCTTCACATGCAACACCACGTCTGGCAAATGGAAGTCGGGACGTGTGAAATGAAGCCTGGTCCGAGATCCTCACTCGATGTTGAGGATCTTGGAACAGCCTCCATTCCAGACGACCCCTTTCCTTGTCTCAAGCATGTGTGATTGAACAATGATATATAAAGACTACAATAGAAAAGCACTCAATCAAGATACGAGTCTCTCAGCCTATGCAGCTATTTAAATGGCAATGGGGGAGGCCTCACGGGACATCAAGTGATGGGTGATGCAAAANNNNAAAAAAAAAAAAAAAAAAAAAAAAAAAAAAAAAAAAAAGTAACTCAAATTAATATTAAATTAAAATTAATATTAAATAGCAATATTAAGGACTGCTCCATGCTGAAGCACGTGATGGGCAGATCATTTTTTGACGTGGTTAAAATTAACAAAAAAGGCTGCAAAGTTTTGGTGTCACGGCATTTGTCTCATTCTCAAAGGTATGTATGGGCGCTGAAAATAACGAGGATGTCGAAAAACGATACACAGGCAGGCCGGCCTGCGTAGTTCTTTTTCAAAGGCATAGTACACACAAACAGATTCTTGGTGCAATTTGAATTATTTCAATTGGCTACAAATTACAATTAGACATGTCCACGGGGCGAACCGGCCATGAACTGGCCTCATAAGGGCCGGTTCGTTGAACCGGACCCGTAGGGTCGCGGTTCGATCCCGGTTCAATTTTTTTTTTT